ATACCTTCAGTTTTCAGACGAACCTGCAGTACCTTTAAATTTATCAGCAATGTTTCATATAAAACTGATTTCTATTTCAGCATTGTTTTTGTAAAACACATATTTACTCAAGAAACTACTGTTCTATAAATTCATAAGTTACACATATTATTGAAACATGTTATTATCAAATGCAGTTCTGATTTTATAATGCAAACTAATTTTGTTCTGTTTTTAATTATGTGTACTTCAGTTTTGAGACAGCTGTTTTATATGTTGATAAGATGTCAGGAATCATTTTTCTCCTAGCAGGGGAAAATGTCACGGGTCATTTTATTTGATATGTTAATTGTTCATTTTGCCGTGTAATGTTTGTAATTTAGTCGCGGGAAAAGTATCCTTAATGTCCGCACATGCGTCGATTGTCGTTAGTCTCCGTGGCGTCTGTTATCGTCTGCGATTGTATTGTATCGGATGGTTTCGTAATGTACGCTTATTAGCGGAAATTCACGGAAACGGCCGAAACAATTCAACTTTGTCTGTATCTCGTGCAATTTTGTGAACTGTTTTTGAATGTCCAGTCGTGTTGTACGTTGTATGTAGGAGATTGAGAGAAAGTCTCACATTGGTTTTTAACATTTCCTTTCTTCCAAATTCCCGCGAACTTTCCTTCTCCATTTCTTTTTGACTTTATTCTCTTACGAGTTTAGATACACAATTGTACTTCTGCGTCGATTCTATAAGTTTATTTAATAGAATTTTTGATAGAAAATAACTTATTATTAAGTTATTTACTTTTTGTATTGAGACGCTGTGATAAGATTACTTTTATTTTTTTTATTTACTAGTACTTGAAATAATTCTTATTTGCATCGCTCAATTGTTGTATTGTTGTATTTTATGTATGTTTAAATTAACTTGCGTTATAATCATGTATTTATGTTTTTAGGCTTTTTCTTCGTGTTATATTAAAATGACGTTAATTCTACCCTGTGGCATTTATATATTTCATCATGTTTTAACTTTCAATGTCATTTGCCTTGAAGAAAAAAAAGGATTATTCATAATGATGGATGAATTATCATCCAGATTTTTCTTCTTTTTGTCACTTCATTACACTAATTTCTATTGATAAAGTGCATGCCTGATAAATCTAACTTAATCAGTCACTCTCCTCAATACCTTTTGAAATAAAATGAAGAAAATGGAATATTTTACCTCCTGCTAATTTGAAAATATTAAACTGATTAACTTTGAATTGAATATATTTTTTGACATTTGGCAAAAAACATTTTGGACTTTTTCTTATAGATGTAACCTTTGGCATATTATTTCGCTCGGCGTGAACTTGAGAAGTATTTGTTTAATTTGAAATGTAAATAATGAAACGCATATTATAATTGCAAACATTATACATAGACTACCAAACAAATGTCTGATAATATAAATTTATCAGGTTTAGCAAAATCAAAAGAAGGGCTCAGCTTCTTCTGGTCAATTTGTAATACAGACACTAGCATGTTATTCTGTATTAATCCATACAAGTAGGAGCATACTGCAATTTGGCTCGTACATACAAACGTGTCAAAATATGTCCTGTTTACCTGTCCAATCAGTCACAACAGTCGTTATCTGCGGAACAGATAACTTACTCTTAGCTCTGACAGTAATGGTGGTCAAAAAAATTACCCTCACTAATAATATTATTTTAATGTCAAAGCGTAGGCATTTGAAATTAAAATAAAATTTATTTCCAATCAATACTTTGAGAATGAATGATAAGTGATTAATGAAACTTGGTATTGGCATTATGCTAGGCTTCTAGAGTTTCAGATAAGAACCGTGTTTGCGTATGTGCGCATTAAAATTATGAAATATGCGTCAACATTTAACAAAACCCTTCGAAAATATCGTGTACGCCTTCAGCTCGATTTAAAGTGCCTAACTGGTAAAGAAAAATCAGTACGGTAATCTCGGGACCGTAAACTAAATAAACCGTTTCACACTGCATTCTCTGGGAAAATATATGTAAAGAGTGTTTTGACGAAAAATTATTTTGTATGATTAAACGACATAATATATGAATAAATAATATAAAAAGCAAAAACCACATCTGTCAATTCTTTATACCAATTTGTTCCAACAACTTGCATGTTCGTTGCAGTTAATTGAATTACCTTTGGTGATTCTTGTGTTTACTGACGATGGCCCAAGAAAATAAATAAATTGATATAATTAACTGATTTAAATAAAAAAAGAATAAACCAGAGCCGGTTGAATCGGGTAATGCTCCCCGACTAGGATTTGGACACAGAAAAGTATATCTTTTGTAGTTTCAGAGTTATGTCCAACACAAAGTTCAAAATGTGATAATTCCAAACTTAGGCAATGCAGAGTTATTGTTCTTTGCACTGCACTTCTACTCAATTACATATGTCTACCGACCTTGGCGCAACATGTTGTCTCAATATATTGGTCATTTCTGTGAAATAGTTGTATAATCAATTCAAATAACGAAGTTATGGGCCGGACACAATTTTGCTTCAAGGTCATGCTGTGATCTTGACCTTCAAGGTTGGGACCCAAATGTTACCCGCGTCATGTCGTCTCAATATGGTGATCATTTCTGTGAAATAGTTGTAAAATACGACTTCAAATAAAGATGTTATGGGCCGAACACGATTTTGCTGCAAGGTCATGCTGTGACCTTGATCTTCAAGGTAGCGACCCAAATGTTGCAGGCGACACGTCGTTTTATGATGGTGATCATTTCTGTGAAATAGTTGTAAAATCCGACTTCAAATAACAAAGTTATGAGCCGGACACGATTTTTCTTCAAGGTCATGCTGTGACCTTGACCTTCAGGGTAGCGACCCAAATGTTGCGCGTGACACGTCGTCTCAATATGGTAATCGTGTCTGTGTAAAAGTTGTAACATCCGACTTCAAATAACAAAGTTATTGGCCGAACACGATTTTGCTTCAATGTCATGCTGTGACCTTGACCTTCAAGGTAGCGACCCAAATGTTGCGCGCCACACGTCGTCTCAATATTGTGATCGTTTCTGTAAATTGTTGTAACATCCGACTTCAAATAACAAAGTTGGGGGCCGGACAAGAATTCGGGACGTACGGATGGACGGACGGACTGACGGACGGACGGACAACCCGGCGATTATATGCTCCCCCGAAATTTCTCGGGGAGCATAATAAAGCACTTCAAGCACTGAGGTATACATTGCTTGATAATACGGTCGATTTTATCACCAGGGCCATGCTGTTATTAACCTACTGGCGTAAAAATCAATAGGGGTCATCTTCGAGCTACGGTCAATGTTCCCAACAAGTTAATCAAACTGAGGCTTATTTCTTCCCAAGTTATTAATGGGACAAGGACCTGGTGACGTTTCTACAGACTAGAGCTGGGTAATACCGTGCAAGTTGCTAGACTATATATGTTTTCTTTCGAAACTAGTGAGCAAAACAGAAATCAGTTGTGAGGTACCCGTTTATTGACTACATTTTATAAATAACAAATGAGTTTGTGGGTCATATTAATAATATCATCCCGTGGATTTAGAGTATTTTACGAGGGATGACATTTTTACTGTTACTCACCAACCCATGTAATATTTATCTTATTACCCCTAACAAATACTGTGATTAATTGAATTTCTTCTGATACCTACCAGTCATAAACATAAAATAAGCTGTGTTTTATTTAGAAAACAAAGCACAATCCCATTTAAAAGGTTATGATCTGTGAAATCTGACCCTTCTGTATCCAGAATATTCTTCGCCTGGATTTTTCAAAGTGCGTTTACAAAATAACGATGATTTCCTATGTCTGTCCACCATATCTGTAATGTTTCACTGAATAAAGTTGTTAAATGATCCTTTGTTGCATGCTTCAATCGCCTGCATGTTCAAGTTTGACACATTATTATTCACATTGCAATTACTTCCAATGAAAACGGATGTTTACTTTTTGACTATTCAACAAAAAGATTTTTTCGAGAAAAACACGCCAGGGTGCAAACCACTTAATTTTCTGGGTGTTATAGTCACTCTTGTGATGTCCTATCGGGGTGATCTTCGTAAAGAAATGGCGGCCATTTTATTTGATTTTATTTTGAAAATAGACCACGTGACCAGGTTACCCTATAAGAGTACAAATTTCTTAGTCACGTTGTTCACTTGCATTTACAGTAAGAATAACTCTCAAAGGCCTACGGATATTAACATTACGAAAAAAAAGTGAGAAATATTGAAACAAAAATATTGAGTATTCTGTGTTGCTTTCTTAATAAAGGCATAACTAAGCTTAAAGAATATACCAAAATTGAATCTTCCATTTTGTAAAGCTTATATGACCTTACAGTACTTTGACGTTATACTTTATGTAACTATCTTTTAAATTTATAAACATTTAAACACTTATTGTAATAAAAAAATTGTCAACAGTCTTTCTTGTTTGTGACTCAAGTTCCATCTTTAACTGGCGTACCTCCAGAAGTAAAGAATTATTACAGGGGTACATAGTACAGTGACATAGCCATACACAGTTATACAGAAAAGTCCATTATGATAGCATATTGCAGCTGAATAGATCGTAAGGCTTTGACAGATGTCTAAAACAAGTATCATCCGTCCAACTTACCCTAACAATTTCTATTTAATTTAGAACATTGTTATAAGTGTGAGAATTTCATTTTTCTTGAAGACTTATTTGTTCCTTACATAAAAAAAAAACAATAAAAAAGATCAACAAGTCAAAGGCAATGTTCACAGGACGCTGCCTCCCCCCCCCCCCCCCCACATCCAAGAATGGCACCAAGAAGTGAAACCCAATTTTAAGTTATCTAGTAATGCCCTCATTACCACACTTTAGGGAGATTAAAGAGCCTAGAACCAACCGTAACAAAAATTCCTGATGCAAAAAGATTGTATTTTTTGCATAAGCGTCTCTAAGTGAAACTGTTTAATAATATTTCAACAACATACATTATTTCGGTTCCTTACCTTCAATAGAGATTGTAGCAGTTCCAGTTACTGTTGGGTATCCTGCAGCGACTGAATAAGACACTAAACAATAATATATGCCTGCATTGTCCATTGTAACTGACCTCAATTTGACTTCTCCATTATTAACATGTTCAATATTAAAGTTATTGAAAACTATAGGAGCATTAGTTCCAGATTTAGACATGACTGTTGTAGTTGTAGCCATGGATGTATGGGACCAAACAACTAAACTCATGTCTGCTTCATGATCAAAACTCCAAGGAATTGTCAAGTCAGTATCAACAGAAGCCGTATATATTTTATCCAGGGGTGATATTGCTGCTTCTGAAAAACAGTTGAAGTCGACTACAACTCATTCTGGATTTAATAATTTTTAATTTTCTCTGTACAAAATATATCAATCAAAAGGTTAGCTGTCATTTTAGGAGTCACAAATTAATCTTGTTTCCTATTATTATAGGAAATTATAACATTGGTGGCAACAATAAAAATTATAAGAAGAAAATGGAAAAATGGAAAATAAAAACTATTATAGCTTATAGAAATAGATAAATACAGAATCCCTAAAGAAAGCCCAACACGGCAAAATTGAAAATGTTGCAGGCTCGGTTGGATTGAGCCTGTTCATGGACGGTACTGGAAAGTGCAAGTTACCGTCTAGCACCGGCTTAAGCAGAATTCAACATTTAACATGAACTGGTAAAATTTAGAATTTTGAAACATCCGCAGATGTGTTCATATGGCGGTTATCATGGAACCTTCAATGTGACACGTTAGTGCCATTCCATGAAAAGCGGCATATGGTCCCCAAGTAAAAAAATGCGTGTGCCCTAAACGAGAAAACAATGGGCGGAACTAAATAAAATGGAATTTTGAAAGGGGAAAGAAAGGGAAAGAAAGCCTGGCAATATTTCTAAGCTCTTAATGAAATCTGAATCTTATCGCGTTTTTCTGTTTATGCTAACAGTATCTTTAATTGTGACAGAAATGTAAGTTTAGATATATATTTTACGGTCAAAAATATGTCAGACAGTACAGCCAGTCACAAACCTATAAATCTAACAACATTCATCATAAACTCCCGTTACATGCCCATATGGATATCATTTTCGGTCTGAAATAGGGAAAAACAGAATCCTTGAAGAACGCCTAACACGATAAAATGTTGCAGGCTCGGTTGGATTGAGCCTGTTCATGGACGGTACTGGAAAGTGCAAGTTACCGTCTACGCCCCCTAGCACCGGCTTAAGCAGAATTCAACATTTAAACATGAAACAGTAAAACTTTGAATTTAGAAACATCCGCAGATGTGTTCATACGGCGGTTATCATGCATGCGTGATTATATTATTGCGCATCTGAACTCCATGTCTTGCTTTTTTATAACACAGATCACACAAAATGGAGATTAATGTCCTAAATTGAAAGAGATATACCTTTCTTCGATGTTCTTGATTGAGCAACAGTGAATCAGTGATAGAAACTAAAGGAACAATTATAGAAGTAGGTATATCTTTCGATCATTTTTTATAGTTATTTAAACAGAGCTGTAAACAAGCTATTATAAAAAAATTTACACGGACAAAGCACACGCATACTTAAACGGAGTGCGAAAGTGGAATATACCAACATTGCATAAATTTAAGAGCAAATTATTGGTTTGTTTGTGAGCTTTCTTGTTGTGCACATAAAGTCATGTGCGAAAAAGTATTCAAAATCAATTTCAATACATTTAAAGCCTAATATTGTTGTAATCATAGTTCGTTACTCCGTTAAGCTGATGAATTTGGTTAAAGTACCGAGTTGGAAACTGACATACACACACTTTACAAATGTGTCCATATTTAATTGGTTGCTATCGTTTAATTAATAAATATTATGCATTAACTTGGTTATGGTTAACATATCAAGATATATAGGTTAGAATAGCTGCCGGTTTCTTTTTGCCGCGCCAGTTTTTGGCAAATTCAACCCCTATTTTTACGCGCTTTAAAAAAATGAAAACTATCTTAAATTGTCATATTATTGGATTATTGTTGTAACTAGTGAAATAAACTTATAAACTTAAAACTGATTTTATAGTTGTTGTTCTTTAAACCCAAGCCTTCTTTCAAACTAAACGAACAAACAAACAACACTTCAATCTCCTAAACTGTATACAAACTTGGAAAAGGGACGATGCATATCTAAATCAGGGTTTTATTCCTAATAGCCTGTTTTATCATGACATAATCATTGTTAATAGTTTTGTAAATATTTTGAATTTTGATTTGATAAAAAACTTCAAAGTTCAGGTTCGTCTCCCGACTTTCTTGTTGTTAAGACACTAGTGACTGATTTCAAAACATACAATGGATAGATATTGATCTGGATGCATATGTTTGCATAAATAAGTTAGGAGAACCCTACTTTTCCTACAGCTCTGAAATTTTTTACTTTTCCGTCCTCTCTTATTATTTTTTTTTTTTTTGGATAACTTAGATTTGGCCCTATGTTGGGTTGGTCGTGTGGCTGTTGCGTTCATTGAATGCCACCAATCCTTGTTAATATTGTTTTTCATAAATATGTTCCAGAGATAAGGTGGGTGATACTAGTAGTTCGGATATTTAACAGATAGTGTATTAAAAGCCTTTGTAAATTGTTTCGGAAATACAGGATTTTGTTTTGAAAATTTCAAGAGCTGCTTTCTTTTAGTATTTTCAACACATGAACTAACCATATCACAGTCACAGGCATTACTGTCAATTATATTTCGGTTATAATGGTTTTACCGTAATCAAACGTTAAACCCCTAAGTAATTTTCTTTGGAATTTAATACTAAGTGTAAGCTTAAAATAATAAGAGAGGTACACCAGATTGTTTGCAAAATCTTATCGGCACGATTACTAGGTTCACAAAACATGATGTTCACAGTCTTGATCATATAAATAAACTGTCATTTATTTATACCCAGGACGATTTCAAGTAGTAGACAGAATGTTCTTGATATTTGGATAGAAAAGAATTTGATAAAGGAAATTTATGAAAGAGAAAACGGAAAAGTAAAACGATTCAAAATTCTAGTAATAATTTACATGTTATGTGCGATAAATAACCGATTTTTCAGTATTAATAACTATATTTCTACTGCGTTACTAACGCAGAAAGAGCTATTTTGGCATATTTTGACATCTGGTTGGTAATTTACTTGGGTTTTAAGTGCCAATGAAAATGTGTAAATTACATTATTTTGGTAACTTCACAATATTATAATGTTCAATACATATTCAAACTTTCATGAAAATTAACATGAATCTGGAGGTATGCTTCTTTAAAGTCGCTAGTTAATCAGTCGTTTCAGTGCCTCCAGCACTTTGATCTTATCTAACTTTACCATTTCAATTTCGCCGAAAAATCATCAAATTCTTAACAAGTTTCTAATAGAAACATAAACGTTTTATAACATACATAATGACAGAAGTTCATTTGAATGTTCAGAAGTGTGTTTGAAACGTATGTGTACGATCAAGAAACGTAATTAATTGTACTCAGATGACCGTTTGAGTCTGAAACATTTTGCAAAGAGAGATGCCCGAGTTTTTTCTCCTCCAGTAAAGCTGAAGAATCACTAAAATAACTTACACTGTTTTTGTGCAACGCCCCCCCCCCCTACCTCCAAAAAAAAAGAAGAAAAGAAAGAAAGAAAATCAATCAAATGAGACATGCTTTCAAACTTATCATTTGTTACAGGATAGAATGTCCTTAACTGGATTTGACTTAAATACGTAATAGATAGAGTTAAATACTTTTATAAGTGTGATTACATTGTGCTCGTTATCACCATGTTCGTCTTCATCCAATTCTTCACAGTATCGAAATTGAAATTTTTCAATATACATCAAAACAAACTTGTTTTTATTTCTTACACTCAATTTACATATTTTATTTTACTTTTGGTTGAATATAGGTAAAATAAACTTACGTTGTATCATAGTTTGGAAGAAAGCAAATAAATTAAAATAAATTGTTGTTGTTTCTCTTAGATATTTGGACTGTGTTGAGTTACTACACTTTTGCGCTAAAATTATTATATATTAGAAATTATTCCGAGTGGAAGACAGTTGTTAGTAGACTTACTGCAGTATTACATGTTCAAACTGAGGGCATATATTTACAATATTGATTGCAACACTGTTGTTACTCAACTAATAATACTTGAAATAAGATAATTGATAGTGTTCATTGTAACTTTCAGGGGAATTGTTCTTCATATTAGTAATAATTGTGGTGCCAATAAGATATTATTTTGTGCAGCAGTCACAAGTATGATTCTCTTCTATGTCGACACTTTTATTACAGAGGTGGCAATACAATTAGACATGCATAGTATTCCCTTATTTAATGTATTAAATCTAATGTAGGACATAATCATCTTTTATTTTAAAAATCTCCAATTTCTTCATGACTAAGAAATAATTGTAGTCATTTTGCAGTACCAGTACTGATACTGAATCGCTAACACAAAGTTGATTTTTTAATCCCATCATTTATACGGACTAAACAAACTTCTAATTCTCTTATTTCATCTGATTTGATTTTTAACAGAAACATTTAAACGTTAACTTTATATTATTATGCAACATGAAAATGAATTACGCTGAAGCGAAAACATTAAGAATACTATATAAATTTGACATCTACAATATATATTTAGTTTTCTTTCAGTAACAATACTTGCCAACAGTTTAGTACATGTATTTCTAACTGGCTAATACAGGAAAGACTACAGAATAGAGAGGTTTCCGTGACATGTTTAAAACTAATGTACGATAAATAACCACAATGATACATTTGATTGGAATCATGAATAAAATTACGAATTAAGCAATTTGTATTATTTTATTTTCATAAGAAGTAACGTCCTCATCGGTTTCCGAAAACCCCAAGTATAATAATAACTCTTTCTATCATTAGGTATGCATGCAAATGTTTATTGACGTTTGCATTGTTGATTGCAATCGCCCTGTGCTGTGCCTTCCCATGATTAACTGTTAGAAAAAAATATCCTTATACTACCAACAAGGACTATAAAAACAAATCACACTTTCATGCATTTTTACTAATATCAAAAATATAAATTCATAAATCTACTTGCACTTTTGGCAGACGATATTTGTAGCTTTTATTGAACGTTTTCTGCTATTTATAAACTGATCGTCATTGGCAGGCCAATGTTCAGATGCAAATAGTTTAGTTTTTAAGTCAATTTTTGTGAATCAAACATTATTTTACTCGAAACGAAACTAACCAATTGAACATATATCAAGTTGTTTTTTAAAAACATG